GATGACAAGTTCACATTAGCTGGTATCAACAGGATAATATATGTAGTAACATAATGAAAAATAACAAACAAATAATCACAAATGTAAACATATAAATGTTATGATATTTAACGTATAAATGGATCTGTTGTTGTTTTACTGCAAAATCTTAACAAGGTAGCGAGTGTTTACTTTGTTTACATATTTTCTCCCTGGAAATATAACAACTGGAATGTACAGTAGTTGGAGTTCCTGTTAGACTCAAAGAGTTCATCTGTTGCTTGAATTTCAAAATTGAAAATTATAAATAAGGATGGTGGAGGAAATGGCAAGGTATAAATGTGGCGATGAAAAAAAGTGAAATAATTGGCCAAGTTTGACATGATGGTGTGGTTGTTTTTCACGGTTCATATGAAAGAGATCATGTATTAGGGAGGTATGCGGTTTTACTTGACATAAGATGTTAGATGGTGTCCATACCTGTACCTGGTTTATATCACATTCCGCTCCAAGCCAAATAGATGTTTCTCATTTTCAATACTGCCTTTACCACAGACCTTTTTACACTGCCTTTATCTCAGACCTCTTTTTACACTGCCTTTACCACAGACTTCTTTTTACACTGCCTTTACCCCAGACTTCTTTTTACACTGCCTTTACCCCAGACCTCTTTTTACACTGCCTTTACCCCAGACTTCTTTTTACACTGCCTTTACCCCAGACTTCTTTTTACAGTGCCTTTACCCCAGACTCATTTTTACACTGCCTTTACCACAGACTTCTTTTTACACTGCCTTTACCCCAGACCTCTTTTTACACTGCCTTTACCCCAGACCTCTTTTTACACTGCCTTTACCCCAGACTTATTTTTACACTGCCTTTACCCCAGACTTCTTTTTACACTGCCTTTTCCCCGACTTCTTTTTACACTGCCTATACCCCAGACTTCTTTTTACACTGCCTTTACCCCGACCTCTTTTTACAGTGCCTTTATCCCAGACTTCTTTTTACACTGCCTTTACCCCAGACTTCTTTTTACACTGCCTTTACCCCAGACCTCTTTTTACACTGCCTTTACCCCAGACCTCTTTTTACACTGCCTTTACCCCAGACTTATTTTTACACTGCCTTTACCCCAGACCTCTTTTTACACTGCCTTTACCCCATACTTCTTTTTACACTGCCTATACCCCAGACTTCTTTTTACACTGCCTTTATCCCAGACTTCTTTGTACACTGCCTTTACCCCAGACTTATTTTTACACTGCCTTTACCACAGACTTCTTTTTACACTGCCTTTACCCCAGACCTCTTTTTACACTGCCTTTACCCCAGACCTCTTTTTACACTGCCTTTACCCCAGACCTCTTTTTACACTGCCTTTACCCCAAACTTCTTTTTACACTGCCTTTACCCCATACTTCTTTTGTTTGTTTTTCTATTTTTAAACAAAGTAGTGCATTTCTTTTCCTGAATTGACACTGAATGTCATTCAATTTGAAGAAAACCGTTTCCATACCTATCAAATCCATTTTTTGTTATAGAACACATGCATTTTGCTTAGCCTTATGTTTTTGTATACAATCAACCCCAGTTCTTCCATCACTAACTCTGAGCAGTTTCTCAATGAATTACCAGCTTATTCAGTCAGTTGCTCTAGTAGATCTTTGCAGGGTAGTTTGTTTGTTCATGTTTTTCCCCTTCCATTGCCCCCTCCCCCTGCCCCTCCCCCACCCTCCCCAGTTTGTTGGTCAGAAGAAAAAAAATCAAATAACCGAAGCAGATTATTTATGATAAGATAATTTTGCCTTTTGTGCAGTTCTGAATCTGATTTCTGTAAAAAGTCTGTTAGAAATTCAAAGGCAAGAAAATCAAAGGACACTAACAAAAAAAAATTTAATTTGATTATCAGCAAGTACATTTTTGTATAGCAAAAAGCATGTGTTATGTAGCCTAAGTTTATCTAAGGTATACACATGGGTTTGAAGGATCACCACATTCATAGTAAGCACTCTTGTAACTGTGTCTAAAGTTTATCATTAAAATCAAAGATTTCTGAGGCGTTTGTTACCGAACGGTCTGTGTTGGTTATATAAGTTTTCTCTCTGTTGGACATTTGTATCACAAGTTTTTACTTGTAATACCCACCACGTTGATGATAACAGTAAATTAACTGTGATTTTTATCATTTTATCTGAGTGATCTCCCCATGTTTGGGTTTTATTTTTTCATTTTTTTTTCTTTTTTTAAACATCACAATATCTCGACACGATGACATTTTAATTGACAGGATATCACGCTCAAGGATAAAAAATGACAAAAAACATTAGACGTACAATTTTAGTGAGTGATAGCCCCAACCTCTGTTGTCGACTCAGACATCTTTCAAAAGACATACAATAATGTAAATTATGTTAAAACTTCAGATTTTGAAATTTGTTTTATCTACATATCTCAGTAACTGTACGTTCAATCATGTTTAAGATTATGTGTTTATGGTAAAACTGTCTGTACTGTTTTTAACTGTTCAAATTTATGGCCACTAAAGGTATATTTTAGGTGTCATAAAGATATGTTTCCTGGCCCGGATCATACTATTTGGCATAACCTCTGATTATCTTGTCAAAGTACACAAGGTGTGTTGATGGGATGGGGAGAATTTTGACAATCATATGACAAGGAACAGCTTCTCTATGAAAAATCTTACATTTGAAATGTTTTTGCTGTCGGAGTAGATTCCGCTGATAAAGATATATTAGATAGAGAATTGAAGCAGTCTTGTTGAAGTTTCTACAACAGTTGATACGGTCAGTAGGATGCTAAAGTATTTGCTAATGGACCATTTAGATCGCAGTCTTGCAAAAACAAGAAAAATAAATGCCCCTGTTTTCTATCAAGGTTTCAGTGCAATGGTTCCTCGGACTAAATTTCTGTCATTTCACAGAAATTCGACAGTTAATCATTTGAGGGCATTGAGTAGCCCTGAAAAGTATTACCACCACAACTGGCATGCATGTTCTACATGTTTACTGCAATTTATTTAAACAGTCCTGATTGGATGTTTTCTGCAAAGGATGCAGTTAATGAAAACCAGATATAGAAAAATGTTTTGGTTGGCATCTAATGTTTTCATCTGCAGTTGGTATAGATGTTTTCTTTTGTGATATCTTGAGAAGGTATCAATATATATATACTGCATATTGACGCAGAAATAACGAAGTCAGATTATCTGAAATGACTGATGGTTTGTTCTGTTTGGTGGGTTTTGTCCATGAACAGCCAAAAGGTGAATGAAGTCTTCTTGTACTGGCTGGTAGCTACTGCACCTCATTGAACAACATACAGGAGGTCCATTGCATGCCATTCAGAATAGTAAGCGTTAAGTGTCATGCTTAAGGACACAACTAAGCTTCCTGAAAACACTAATTTCCAGGGATAGGGAGGGTCAAACCAACACCTTAGATCTCCATCTGCAATTGTGTTGTCCAATGCTTTACTGACTGAGATACTGCAACCTATAGACTTATATAGAAAGGATTGGATGGTCCAGAGTAAGGCCTTTAAATGGTGTCCTATGATTGGATAGTCTAGAGTAAGGCCTAAAAAGGTGTCCAATGATTGGAGGGTCCTGAGTAGGACCTAAAAAAGGTGTCCAATGATTGGATGGTCCTGAGTAAGGCCTAAAAATAATGTCCAATGATTGGATGGTCCTATGTAGGACTTTAAAAAAGGTGTCCAATGATTGGACGGTCATGAGCAGGACCGTAAAAAAGGTGTCCAATGATTGGATGGTCCTGAGTAGGACCTATAAAAGGTGTCCAATGATTGGATGGTCCTAAGTAGGACCTAAAAAAGGTGTCCAATGATTGGATGGTCCTGAGTAAGGCCTAAAAAAGGTGTCCAATGATTGGATGGTCCTGAGTAAGGCCTAAAAAATCTGTCCAATGATTGGACGGTCATGAGCAGGACCATAAAAAGGTGTCCAATGATTGGATGGTCCAGAGTAAGGCCTAAAAATAATGTCCAATGATTGGATGGTCCTAAGCAGGACCTAAAAATGGTGTCCAATGATTGGATGGTCCAGAGCAGAACCTATAAAAGGTGTCCAATGATTGGATGGTCCTGAGTAAGGCCTAAAAAAGGTGTCCAATGATTGGATGGTCCTGAGTAAGGCCTAAAAAAGGTGTCCAATGATTGGATGGTCCTGAGCAAAACCATAAAAAGGTACCCAAAATCTGGTCCTTTCATCAACAAAGTTGAAATTCCTTCTGTCAGGAGTTGTAAGTAGTCACTGACAAGTTGCTAAATCTAGAGTGTATATACCAGATGTTGATACGGTGACCCTTCAGATCAACACAGCATTAATTATACAGCAAATGAATGAACAAATTTGAGCTGAAAATTATTTCAGAAAATTACTTGTGACAGGTTAGGGAAAAAGCAGTCCACTTAAAAGTACATTTGCTGGTGTATTTCTGACTTGTAACTTTAAGTTAGAACAGTTTGCTAGTGCTTGTGTAAGTTGAAATACCGGTAAAGATAGCCAAGCATCATGATATGTTCTAATCACCTTGCATCTGTGGTCTGCGATCTGTCGTCAGTCTGTCTGTCTTCAGTCTTTAAACAATTCTTGTTGTCGTCATTTCTTGAGAATTAAACCCATGATGGATCATTCTCAAAGCTCTTAGGAAGGTTTCCCGTCTTTCATTATTAACATTAAATTTATCTCGTCATAAGCCCAGGGGGAGGGATTATTACATGACAATGAAATAGCTTAGGTCTATAATTTCCAGCAATATACAAGTGTATGATTGGGCTTATGGCCAGACATGAACTTGTTGTTGGATATAAAGTGAAGCTTATTCATTATTGGTGGTCGTGACTGATCAGTGTAGTCATTTAGTGATGTAAGTAGTTGTACATGTATCTCATGATAGAGTTGTTGTGTGCTGTAAACAACATCAGTAACATTATGTCAATAAGTTTTGACTTTAAAGGTGTGTATCTGTTATATTTTACAGGTGCATTTGGAAGCAGAGGAGGTGGAAGGGGCGGAGGCCGTGGTGGTGGCCAGCAACGACCTGGAAAGGGGAGGGGTGATTGAGTTTGACGTTAGTAGTAGGAGGCAGGCAATGTCTAGACTCATTCATGTTGTTCACTGTTTTGTTTTGGGTGGTTAAAAAAGATCCTAGGTGAACTTGGGCTTTTTGTTATTTTTTCCAAACTGAATACAATTTTGAACATTTTTCTATAAGGAAAGATAAAACAGTCATGGAATGTTTTATTCATTGATCACTTTTTGTTTTAACAAGGCCTACTTTTGTGAAAAGGTATGATGCTGTTAATTGAGAGTACATCTTTATGTGGTCGCTATGAGAAATATAAGTTGGAATTAAAGATGATAATTGTTCTCACAATTATTTATCAAATGTATTTTTTATACAAAAATAGAAGATAACCACTCCAGACAACAAAGACAACATTACAGGGATGACAGGTGTGATTTGGAGTGAGAGAACCACCAGGTGTGTAATTATGGTATGAAAGGTGATGAATATGATAACTTGGAGAGTGGTAACATTGTATCATTATGTGTGGAGTTGATGCAACTATTTGTAAAGGACTGCTGTAGATAAACTTATATAAAGGTGATACTATCTTAATACTTGATCTAGTTATCATTGTTTGATTTGATTCTGGAATAATATTTATTCTGTGTGGAAGTCAAGGTATCTGTCCTGCATTATGCTTTAACCAGGCCTTCTGAAATCAGTACATCTACTCCTACAGGAAAAAATAGGATGAATTCAGTAATTGTTGCATTAAGCTTTACTTGAATTGTTTAGATTGGGCATTATGTAGATTCACATTAAGGTATCTGTAAATTCTATATACATTGTATCCAGATTTCACACCTACCAAAATATGTCATCTCTGTTTTCACCTGGAGACCATTTACATATAGAGCAATATTGACTTTAGGACTTTTTCTTTCATGAAAGGGCCTTTTGATTTCATTATGAGAAGAAGGTTTTATGGAGTTGCTTATATATTTTGGTAATTTGGCCATATTATGAAATATTTAACCCAAAAGAGCCCCCAGAAAAAAGCCCAGGATTGCATGTAATCGGTATAATAATAAAATAGGAATGTGCTCGGTCGTTGTGGGCAAACTGTATCTACATGTGTGCAACATCCAATAACAAATTTACAGGAAAAATATTAAGATAGGATCGACATTTGTTAAGTATGTTAACAGTACGTCTTCTCATATAATGAAATTTGTGTCATTAGAGATTTTGAAAGAGTGTGGTTGTACTTTGTCATTTTGATGTATATGAATAGTGCTATAATGTTGCTTTGTAATGCTATTGAAAGACTGGGTGTATGTTGGCATACTTGAAGATGGCAACTCAAATATATACATGGTTATTTTGCATTACAGAGGAAAAGATTTAAAGAAAAATTGTGTTATGTGCATATTTTTGAGATTTGGAGATGATTTTCCATATAATGATATGTTCTACGAGTAAGACATACATCATCTCAAAATATCATTTATTATATGGTAGAAATCTCATGTGAATGTGTAAAGGATAGAGCAAATTGTACACACCGACAAGAATGATAAATAGAGTCATATTTCATGTTTAGAAATGGAACATTGTGAGACATCATGCTTCAAAATCTCCAGATAAATCTTTGATTTATGAAATTCATTCAATAACATACATCTGAGCTTCTATTTTTTTTTTTAAATTTCTCTCAAATCTTCATTTCTTGTATTTTATGTGAGGAGATTTCTAATCTCATCATAGGAGTACTTCCATAGTGCTGATGAACTGAAAAAGATTTGTTTCAATGTTGGAGTAAGGCCAAACAAACCTAATACTTGTAAAATTTCTCAGATAGGGATTTAATAGATGTAGAAGTAATATAGATTCTGCTACATTGATTTTTTTCTTTTTATTTTAAATTTATATAAAAAAAACAAGACAATACTAATGTCTGATGTTGATACTTATGTACAGATTTGTGAATGAGTACAACCAGGGACGTATATATCACGTACAACAAGTATTAAGCTTGGTGTGGCCTAACTTTGACTCGATGCATGCTTTCATTTTGGGTTTTCAAAACAGATCCAATTTCCTATGACACATCTTAATGAACAAAAGCAGATTCTTCTGTTATGATCAAAATTTTGTCAGATATCTGATGATGTAAGAGATCGCCAATGATGAGCCAGCAAAAACTTTACAATAGAATACAATTGTTGAAACTGCATGAAAAATATCCTTTTTTCATTACCAAGTCATCATCAGGTAAATCTGAATTTTCCTGTCAATGTGCAAGAAAATTAATTAATTTCATCTTCAAATCAAAAGATAATTAATCCTATTACTAGTATCTCATTTAAAATTTCATCCTTAGTTTCCTGGAATAAAATCAATATTTCAATTGACCCGGGTGAGTGTAAAACTGAGCTATGGGTTAGAGGGTACATTCACACAAAGTCTGGCATTGTTTTCAGATCTGTCTGTTAATCGGATCTCAGAACAGCCATGTTGATCCCCTATTTCCTGTGTTGGACTGTGTTGGTGTTTTTCCACTGATCGGGGTCAGTTTAAGTAGGTGTGGAGGGGAAGCAGGATTACTGTGGCACACCTGTGGCCTCGACTTTTGTTGGCTAATTAGTCTGTAAATATGATATCATTGCCGATTGTACATCAAAGAGATTCTGCTGTCGACCTGTGTATAAAAAATACATTGTGAGCCATCCGTCTGTAGTAAGCCAGTATATACTTAGGTAGTGCTGAAATCTAGCTTCTGTCCATCACTACCAGAACATGTTTTGATATTAAAATACACAGATTTTACAACATTTTTGTGTTGTGTGTGTGTTTTCTCCTGTACACTTTGATCTCCAAGGATTTGCCAAGAGAAGTTCATATGGTACACAAATTTTTTACTACCTATCATTTAGAGTCGTGCTGGGGAATTTTTATGAAAGTCTGTTCAATTCTTTCATTGATGAATTTTGCTGAAAATGTTTTATGTGAAAAATTGGATGCAAATCACTCCTACAAGATAAATCGTTGACACTATTTATTGAACAACTGGAATCTAAGAGAAAATCTGGATCCACAAGCTGTAAAGTTACATACTTGTGTGTTGTTTGCCGAGTTAATGCTTTGTAAAAAGCAATTGTCATTCTGAAGTGGCTACCACTATGATCACGATGCCGAAGGACACCACATGCCATTCAAAGCCTGTTTGTTACAGTCGTAAGAACACAACAGAAGAGGACAGTCATGATTTTGGCATTTTGGTTGTAATTCACATTGACATATAATTTATTACCCTATTACTCAATTTAAAATTACTTTCCTTTTCTTTTCTCATCTTCATCACTTGATCATGATTGTACTTAATGCTTTCATAAAATATAACTTACACAAATTTAGAATTATGAAGAAACTGCAATAGCATATATTCAAATTGCAGTAAAAGTAAGGTGACTGGATTATATAACAGTTGGGAGTAAGGTGACTGGATTATAGAGCAGGTGGTAGTAAGGCGTCTGGATTATAGAACAGTTGGGAGTAAGGTGACTGGATTATAGAACAGGTGGACGTAAGGTGACTGGATTATAGAACGGTTGGGAGTAAGGTGACTGGATTATATAACAGTTGGGAGTAAGGTGACTGGATTATAGAACAGGTGGACGTAAGGTGACTGGATTATAGAACAGGTGGACGTACGGTGACTGGATTATAGAACAGGTGGATGTAGGGTGACTGGATTTTAGAACAGTTGGGAGTAAGGTGACTGGATTATAGAATGGTTGGGAGTAAGGTGACTGGATTATATAACAGTTGGGAGTAAGGTGACTGGATTATATAACAGTTGGGAGTAAGGTGACTGGATTATAGAACAGGTGGGAGTAAGGTGACTGGATTATAGAACAGTTGGGAGTAAGGTGACTGGATTATAGAACAGTTGGGAGTAAGGTGACTGGATTATAGAACAGTTGGGAGTAAGGTGACTGGATTATAGAACAGTTCGGAGTAAGGTGACTTGATTATATAACAGGTGGACATAAGGTGACTGGATTATATAACAGTTGGGAGTAAGGTGACTGGATTATAGAACGGTTGGGAGTAAGGTGACTGGATTATATAACGGTTGGGAGTAAGGTGACTGGATTATATAACAGTTGGGAGTAAGGTGACTGGATTATAGAACAGGTGGGAGTAAGGTGACTGGATTATATCACAGATGGGAGTAAGGTGACTGGATTATAGAACAGTTGGGAGTAAGGTGACTGGATTTTAGAACAGTTGGGAGTAAGGTGGCTGGATTATAGAACAGGTGGACGTACGGTGACTGGATTATAGAACAGGTGGACGTACGGTGACTGGATTATAGAACAGGTGGACGTAAGGTGACTGGATTTTAGAACAGTTGGGAGTAAGGTGACTGGATTATAGAAGAGGTGGACGTACGGTGACTGGATTATAGAACAGGTGGACGTAAGGTGACTGGATTATAGAACAGTTGGGAGTAAGGTGACTGGATTATAGAACAGTTGGGAGTAAGGTGACTGGATTATACCACAGTTTGGAGTAAGGTGACTGGATTATAGAACAGTTGGGAGTAAGGTGACTGGATTATAGAACAGTTGGGAGTAAGGTGACTGGATTATAGAACAGTTGGGAGTAAGGTGACTGGATTATAGAACAGTTCGGAGTAAGGTGACTGGATTATAGAACAGTTGGGAGTAAGGTGACTGGATTATAGAATAGTTGGGAGTAAGGTGACTGGATTATAGAACAGTTCGGAGTAAGGTGACTGGATTATAGAACAGTTCGGAGTAAGGTGACAAGATTGTAGAACAATTGGATGTTAAGTTTTTGGGCTAATTTGCCATAAAAAGCATTAGATTTTAAGTACAATGTGAACATTGTAATGTAGTTAGTATAAAGTGTGAGGTCTATAAATCTCCATGATCACTCGACAGAGGCTTGTAGAGGCAGTATAGATTTGATCACTCGACAGAGATTTGATCACTTGACAGAGGCTCGTAATTGTAGGGGCAGTATAGATTTGATCACTCGACAGAGGCTCGTAATTGTAGGGGCAGTATAGATTTGATCACTCGACAGAGGCTCGTAATTGTAGGGGCAGTATAGATTTGATCACTCGACAGAGGCTCGTAATTGTAGAGGCAGTATAGATTTGATCACTCGACAGAGGCTCGTAATTGTAGAGGCAGTATAGATTTGATCACTCGACAGAGGCTCGTAATTGTAGGGGCAGTATAGATTTGATCACTCGACAGAGGCTCGTAATTGTAGAGGCAGTATAGATTTGATCACTCGACAGAGATTTGATCACTTGACAGAGGCTCGTAATTGTAGGGGCAGTATAGATTTGATCACTCGACAGAGATTTGATCACTTGACAGAGGCTCGTAATTGTAGGGGCAGCACAGATTTTCAACCCCAGTGCAAATGTACTAAGTCAGATTGATAGCATGGTGTTGAGAGTTCAGGATAAACAAGAAGAATGTTTTTAGTCTGCAATAAATTTTGATATCAATAATGCTTTACAACTGTTTAACCTTTTAAGAAAACCTCAGCTCCAACCATGAACACTCCTGATTTGCTGACAAAGTAATTTAGTGAACTGATACACCCATGTCTGCACCATTTGAGATAAATTTTTGAATGTATAATGTAATTGGGTCTATCAGACAAGTATTTCAATCTCTGACCTACTTTCTTTGACAAGTATTGCCAGGATATGCTTATATAACCCACAGTCCGTTCATTGACTTTCCTAATTGAAAGGATGAGTAATTTCATTTACCAATAATTTCACATCTTTGCTGCTGCATCTTGTACCAACATATAAATAGCATTGGGAAAAAAGTTGCACCTACATATCTTTGTTCACTTAGGGTCATAGGTTAAAGTTCAAGACATAAATGACCTTGATTCCTTTCCTGATACTGCTTTCCCAAAATGTATTCACATACTGTAATTTGGATAATCATTTGAGGTCCCAGAATTTAAACATAGACATTTCAAACAGATGAGTGGATACTGAAGTAATGGATCAGACATAGATGGACAAAGCAGATATATAAATCTGATATATCCCTGGCGACAGGTATAGAGCTATCACAAAAGTCGGCTCTAACTTGATGAACAATACTGGAAGTTTTTTTCTTTTAAATGGATCAATTATATGTTACAATATTTCTACTGATTTTGTTTTGGTTTTACTGCCTTGCTACCTTGGTTGATTTCCAGATACAAAACCAACATAGGAAGGATCTGATGTAAGATTATGCCAGTTAGAACAGAAGTACCAAGTAACTGCTGCCCATTGATTTCATGTGAGTCAGAAAGTATTACCATATCAGTCTGTTTTCATGTTGTAGTAGACTTACTGCACACTGTACATCATAAGTTTAACGCTGAATATTTTTAAATGGTAAAAGTATTGACTTTTGAGTCACTTTGCCAATGTTTTATACCAAATATACATGTTTGGATCTGTTCCCATGGTGATGGGCCGGTCTTTGGCATGGTTTCTCCTATATTTGTTAAGGCTATGGCCATTTAAGTACTGCTGTCCAACCAGTTAAAAGTGAGTGTATGTGTTTTCGGGAATCCTGTGTGTTCATGTTGAAGCCTCCTTGTAATGGTGCGAAACTGAATCTGATCATATAGTGCTATCATACTGAAATTTACAGCCGACGGCACCTAGCATCAAACCTGGTCATGCTGGCTTGTTTACCAGGACGAAATTTGAATGGTCTGTTAAAACATGTTATCTCTTCATTTACGTATTCTTTTACGTGTCATGGCTGCCATCTTTCCCAATTTAGCTCTGTATGTCGCACTTAGATATTCTCATAATAACAGTAAACTGCTGTATCAAATAAAAGTCATCTGTAAATTATATCTGATCAAAATATATGCTATGTCTATTTTTTTTTTTTTTTTTATATTTTGCTTTTCATAATATGGCAACATTAAAATCAATTGATATCATTTTGATCAAATAACTTGTTTCAAAGCATGCAATGATTTTTTCTTTAAAATTAAGTGAAAAAGTATTTGCCTGAATGTTATCATAAGGGCTCGATCAGGGTTATTTTTTTCTGTCCGGTGTTGCTTAATTTTTAAAACACACGCTTCACTTTCATCTATTATATTGCCCTCTTGTCCGACATCAAAATTTTCTTTAAACGTCTATTCATTCTGCACTTCATATTTCAACCTGATTTCCAATTAGATGTTTGGTGTTCCATTCCCTCCAAGGTGTCTGGTTTGGGGCCAGTTTTAGTGGAAAATTATTGTTGGTGTTGGCCACGTGATATGGAGTTTGAATACCGACTCCAACACCAGATACATAAGTCGTCCATTTAGATATTACTAGTCGGTCACTCTCTTTGGCTTCTTTCAGTTTTCCTTTTTTTCGCAATAAGACCTCTTGTGATCATCCGTCCAACAACAGGAATACAAGTTGTGAAATAAAATGTGTAGTTCAGTTGTCGATAACTTGTGAGATCCTCGTCCAATAAACAGGTTAGGAAGAGAACCTCGTACTTTGAACAAAAAAGGATATCTTTGTTCATTGATCAAAAAAGAGATCGTCATCCCTTGAACAGCCAAGATAGCGATCCTCGTGAGCAGTCAAAGAGGGGCCTCGGCCCGTGAGCAGTCAAAGAAAAAGAAATCGTTTGGCCCGTGATCAACCAAAGATCTTCTGTACACATATAGTGTAGTTAAGTTGCACAACTACGGACGAAAGAAAACTTGTGCAAAATACTAGAAAAGGAAATAATATTGAGTATTTACGGTAAAA